TCAGCAGGACATGACAGTTTTAGCTCTTAAATATTTCTCAGATCTATGTATTAAACCTCACCTCCACTGCCATCACCCTCATTCAGACTACTGAGATCTTTCACCTGGGCCACCTGAGGAAGCCTCCTAACTGGTCCTGCCATAGCCTTCCTTCCTTCTCTACAATATACTGAGCTAGTGTGTGTGGTGTGTGTGTTTCTTTTAATGCAAATCTTAGCCTCGTAGGATAAAAGCTAGAGTTTTTAGATGGCCTTCAAGGCCCACATTGCCAGCCTCTTTAGCTTTATCTTTTAAACATGATCTCTGTATTTTAGCCACCTTAGCCTTCTCTTAGTTTCTCAGATACCAGTTACTTCCTCCCACTTACTACCCTTTGATAGTCGACTCTCCTCCAATCTCTGTTCAGTCATATTTGAGAAGTCTGACGTCTCTTATTCTCTTACTGGGTCAGTTTCCTGTTATGTGTCTTCATAGTGCTTCTCACTCATCACACTTAGCACAGTTAGAGTAGTCCCTCCTTATCTGTGGTTTTCCTTTCCGTGGTTCTGGTTACCCGTTGTCAACTGTAGTCTGAAAATATTAAATGGAAAATTCCAGAAATAAACAATTTTTAAGTTTTAAATTGTACGCTGTCTTGAGCAGTGTGATGAAATCTCTCGCCATCCTGCTCCATCTTACCTGGGACGTGAATCATCCCTTTGTCCAGCATATCCTGCCCGTTAGTCACTTAGTAGCCATCTGAGTTATCACATCGATTGTCAGGGTATCACAGTGCTTGTTCAGGTAACCTGTATTTTACTTACTAATGGCCCCAAAGCATAAGAGTAGTGATGTTGACAATTCAGATATGCCAAAGAGAAGCCATGAAGTGCTTCCTTTAAGTGAAAAAATTCAAAGTTCTCGACCTAATAAGGAGAGGAAAAAAACTGTATCCTTAGGTTGCTAAGATCTATGATACAAGTGAATTTTCTATCCATGACATTATGAAGAAGGAAAAAGAAATTCATGCCAGTTTTGCTATCATACCTCAGAATGCAGAAGTTATGGCCACAGTGCGTAAGTTCCTAGTTAAGATGGAAAAGGCATATTTGTACAAGATATTTTGAAAGAGCGAGAGACCACATTCATATAACTTTTATTACAATATGTTGTAATTCTATTATTGTTGTAACTTTCATACTCTGCTCAATTTATAAATGAAACTTTATCATTA